TCTTCAGATCTTGGGTTGAAGATTAATTGCACTGTGTGGAGTAGACTCTGTTCACATATAGTTTACATTGAACCTTATCTTTATTCTACATTAAGGGTGACAGAGGCCAGTTACTTTTGGTATTGTATTCTCCAGTTATCTCAGATAAGGGACAAAGTCAATTGAATGCACTTGTCTGGAAAAATTACTTAAAAGCTTCAAAGTTCATAGCCCCTTTACACCAGCAAACCTTCAGCACTTGGGTCGTAGCAGTTCCAGGACTTTTCTCCTAACTGCCCCACAAATTTAGCAATGTTGTTGCTTGGTCCCACCTTTTGCCTTTGTGATGGCCTATTTAAAGCAACGTTGGCAGTGAATCAGTGGTCTGGTTTTTGTTGTGTGTCTGGTTGGTCAGCTAAGGTCACTTGTTACTGTTTTTTGGTCGAGCGCGAATCATATCGAATTGCCTGACTAAAAGGCACAAACAAAACCTTTCCATTTTCATCCATACAGTTTCCTTCTTGCATGATACTTTCTCATTAGAGCGTTAATGATATTCCTCACTATTCACATGTAGAGAAATGTCAGGGAAAACTCAGCAAAACTGAAAAAATCCCTTCCAAAATGTTAGCTTCACTTCCAACTTCAGACTCTGTTACTTTGGAGGTACCTAAGAAAGACAGACAAACACTTGGCAGAAAAAAGATTTATATTGCGGGCAAGTTATTAAAAGGGACTTTGAATGTTGAAATACCAATCAGTATGGAAATGAGGGGCAAACAACTTTTTCCGAGCTCGATGTTGATCGATTACTTTTGGGGTCCACCTTGCCGAGTCAAGAGCCATTTTACAGGCCTCTGGCAACACTCTGGATTCATTACGCATGTGCAAAAACTAAGTGGGGAGCATGAACACACATGTTATCATATCGACTGTGAGTAGCCTACATCACCCCGGCCCGCCCACTAGTACTACACGTTGCATGTGTACTCAGTAGTACAGTCGATGTGCAGGTCGAGGCAAGCTCTTCGACTCTTTGAGTGTAGCTGGCGACGGCCTTATCACAGTTGAATTACCACCAAGTCTAGCTGCATTGCTGATGCTGTGCACAGAACTTGCGTAAAGGTATAGTGAGTTTATATTGTCAACAATCCTGATGTTAGATGGGACTGTAGAAGACCTTAACCTTTTGGTTTTGTGTATACGGGTGTGGGAGGCTGAGGGGTGATGGTCGCCATGTTAATTCTGTGGCATATCGGGCTGAGTGGGGATTACGGAGTGCACATCATATTGGCCGTGCTGTCACTAGGGTCATCATGGTCACGGCTGTGCGAAATGCTTCGTCTTTTAGCTGCAGAACCGAGTGCCAATTATTTTTAAAATAATCCACCCTCTGCTCTGCTAATATTAAAGCGTTGTCAAGCAGCTTTCGGCCTACAATTTAAATCCAGTTGTGTAAATTTATGTAATAATAATTCCTAAGCCCAGCTAGGCTAAGAGACAAATGTCACAAGGCCTACTGCTCCATAAAAGCAGCTTAGGCCTAGGCCAGTATAGCTTACGACTTCAGAGTCTATGAGGAGTCCTAAAATCTTCTATTTCCTAACAAACTTGGAAATTCTCTGTCCCAGGTTGTATAATTGTCACTTTTGCAATGACTGACGTTTCATGAGATGGTATACCATAAAAAAAAGTGGAGACAAAATGCAAGATTCATTCCTTCCCAAGAAGTGAAGAGGTGACCATTAAGTTAGTTCCCTCTTGACATGCTGATCTTGCTAGGCCTACTTGTTTTTGTTCTGTTAGTCCAGTTACCAATATCTCTTCCAAAATGACCCTGTACCCCTTTGTCATTGGATTGCTCGTCAAAGCTCGAGGTGACCTGCCATAGACTGGAGATAACTTTCCAAAACTTTGTAACTAAACTAGTAAGATCTAGACTAGCATGTTGGGAAATCATGCCACAGTACATAAAATTGGTTACCCATTCCTGCAAAGACTTGGTATCCAGGTATCCTTAAAATCAAAGAAAACAAACAACCAATCCTAACTAATTGATAACAATAAACTTGTCATACAGTATTTAAAAAAAAAACTGAACAGTGGGAGATGTCTCAGATGTGTCCACAATGCCAAAGCTATTGGCGTGGAATTCAGATTAACCCTAACAGCCCTGAATCCTCCAATTTTAATACGATTTTGCACGCAACCCAGGGAGTTAGGGTTAAAGCACTGTAAGAAGGATTTCACGTGATAGAGGTTTCTTGTGTGGAGGGGACGTATGGTACAAAAACTGTGCACTCTACAGTGGTTGGTGCCAACCTACACGTTTGTGGCTCTCCAACCCTTTACTTTGCATAGAAAGTCTTCAAAACACTGCACCATCAACTCACAATGTCCAAGATTGAATAATTAATTTAAGTAACTAGTGTTTTGTAAGGGTATCCGTAGTTAATTATGTTGTTTGCATCTCCAATCAATTCTTATTTTGCGCGGACCCATTGCCAAAGGGAGCCCAGGTCCCCCTGGCGAGAAGCCGGCCCCCGATCAGTAAAAAGCGTAAAGTATATATTTCGTCCTTGCAGTGTGTCCTTCCTTGCTGATACTGTGGACACCCTTCATGCCTGAAGCTGGCGACGGGGCTGATTTTAGGCTCAGACTGAGGGGAAAGATAAAACCGCTTTTCGTGCTTCCAACCCTGTCTGGAATTTCTTATCAAGAAAGGATAAAGCTTTTTTTCAACTCCACTTTTCCCCCTGACCGAGCGAGCCTCCCCCAAGGTTAAAAAAAATAAAACCATAGAATTATCTACAGATGCCCTAACCAAGTTTCAAACAAATAGTTTAGCATTTTACATAAAAATTGTGTCAACAACTGTAAAAATCAATAAAAATTCATGGTATATAGATTGAATAATGAACTCAAATGTTTGTTTTAAAGAGCAATACACATAATTGTGCAAGTGTGGGCAAATTGTCAGACCCACCTATTGGGCATTGGGCATGCTGTCATCAGATGGCGGCGGAAATGCACACGTTTAAAGTGTTTCCACATTTAAACAGGTGCTTCAATCAAATACGACATTACCAGAGAAATCTTTCAAGGGCATTTTTAATTGGCAGGTCGATCTGTAAGTGAGCCTAAATGAACTGAAGTATAAATATATAACAAGACAAGCACTTGAGCAGTTTTTTTCTTTCGTTATCAACGTGATGTATTTTTATTATTACCTGGCAAGTGTAAAAGTCAGTGGTGGAACCGTAATCAGGTTAAATTTTTGCAGGTGCCGGACCGGTACACTTCGA